AACTTTATACCTGTATGTATTTATGTGGAATAAGTTTACCCTAAGTTGAGTTGGAAAATTTGACTTTAGGACATACTCTGTAGGTAGAATAATGTTTTCAGAGCATTTGAATCTATTGTTTCTGTTTTTCCCCTCAGTGTGATCCTTGAGGACAAAAAGGAAGCGTTCAAGAAAAGTGAGAATGTTGCTTTTTACAGGTACGTTAAGCATTTTGAAGTAATTACACAAAGTAATGAGTACTTTTCAAACAGTGGATTTAGTGTTTTCTGTTGATAATGTATTGCGATGTTACTGTCAATTGTTTAGTATTATTATCAAGAGTTCATTAATCTGACAGCTTGTGGATAATAACTGTCCTTTAGTCTTTTTGTGCATGATGGCAGACTCCTGTATCGTCTGCCTGAGAGTAGATGGAAGAGTCCTTGTGCTGGGTGGGTGTGGTCCTTAATGATGCTGCTTTACGCAGACATCGGCTGTGGTAAATATCCTGGATGGTGTGGAGACTGCTACCAGTGATGTCCTCAGCTGTTTGCACCACCCTCTGTAGTGTTTCCAGCTCTAACTGGTGCAGTTCATGTACCACCCTGTGATGCAGCCTGTCAGCAAGCTCTCCATGGCGCACCTACTTTGTATAAAAGTTGGTGAGGATGCAGGTATTAGTCTTCTTAGGAAGTAGAGCCTTTGTTGGGCTTTCTTCACCACAGTGTTTGTATGTAAAGTCCAGGACAGATCCTCAGAGGAAGCTGCTGACCTGCTCCACCTCAGCGTTCTGTAGATGGAGGAGTGCTGACCTCCACTCCGGTTCCTGAAGTCCACCATCATCTCCTTTGTTTTGCTGACACTCAGAGAGAAGTTACTTTCTTGACACCAGCTGGTCAGTGGTTTCACCTCATTTCTGTAAACACTCTCGTCGTTGTTGGTGATGAGTCCCAGCTGGCGTCATCAGTGAACTTAAAGATACATTTCAGCGCTGTCAGAAGTTTCTAAATTACATTTTTAAACTTATAAAAAAGAAAAAATGTAGTCTTGGACAAAAGTGATAAAAGAGCTTAAACAAAGTTATACAGTCTGAAGTCTATATGCCTGCAGTGTGAATAAATTCAGGCAGCAATGCTTCTTTTATGAAGTTTTAAACCATCTTCAACAGAATTAAAAAGTGAATTGTTTCTTTAGAGTGGACCACAAAATAACAAAGGACAATCCGTTAAATTAAAACCTGCTGTGAAGGAATTTAACCGACAGTAATGTTAGTTTTGAAGCAGATGTGTTCAGTTAAAGCCACATCTGTCATCATCATCTTTGACCTGCTGAGTTTAGAGGAAGGCATCAGATGATGGTGCTTCCAATAATCCCGTCAGATTGACCGATGTTTTCAAAGAAAGAATAGATTACTGACTGTAAGTTGATGAAATATTAATCTCTAAATGCAGCAACTAAGGAATTTCCATGTTTTGAATTATGAACATTTGAATCTGGCTCCCTCTTGTGTCCAAAGGCGAGTACTACAGACAATATTAAAAATGTAGCTGCATAACATAAAATTAAAAAAATCTAGTCTAAAAATATGCAGAAAACAAACGGATTAAATCTCTCACTGGTAGAAACGGAAATCCAAGTAATTTAAACTGGAGAAGTGGTTTGAACATGAACTAAGCGTGTTCCAAATGTATTTGTTGGGTTTGGAGCCATCAGAGCAGCCGTTTCATTTCCTGGTTTTTCAAACTAAAATTATTTGACAAACATAAGAACTGGAGCTGCTTTGTGAACTAAACGTGCATCAAAACCGTTTAATTTAACATATTTCCTAAATTTAATCATGCTTTAAAAAGGGTGATTATGAATAAAATGAACACTTCTAATTTTAATAAGATAATTTAGAAGAAAAGGACACTTCAAATTATTTTTTTTGCTATTGATGTTTTATTCTGTACAGAGGGACAATTTGTACAAAATTAATCTAGATATATAACACTACATGAAACAAGGTAAATCATATATACAATAATAAATGAATCGTATAGTACAGGTCACATACAAAAGGACACTTTTAAGTTAACAAGTTTTAGAAATTATATGTTAAAATTAAAAGACCTATTAAGATCTTGTGGTAAGAGAACAAGCCACCAAATAGTTTCTAAATCATCTCGTCATCGGACAGATGACTTGTTTTTTTAGCACTAAAAGAAACCTCCAACATCTCAGAAATTAAATACATCTCTCCCAGCAAGCACTATCCGACGAGAACAGGAATCAGTTGGATGGATGGCATTCCTCCAGGATCCAAGGTACATGTCTAACATGGTAAGTCTTAAATTTACATCTTTTGTTGCATTCCAGCAAATACAGCAATAAAACAGTTAACGAGCCGAGTTTCAATGTCAGTTTAATTTCACGTCTGGCTTTCTGAGCGGCCACGAAATAAAAACGCAGAATAAAATGAAATACAGTCTGTGCTACTAAGCATCAGACTAAAAGAAATTCAAAACATCCAATGAAAAAGGCAGAAAACTTTGAGTTTAAACAATGGTACCGACTGAAACAAGACCATTCAGATGCGTTCAGGTTTAAAAATAAATAAATCTGTTTAATACACTGATATTAACATTATTACTATTGGAATGATTTAAAGGCTTTTATTCCTGCAACATCAGAGGAGGTCTTATGGATGCAACAGTTCATTCCTATTTACCAGCATAAAAATATCATTTCCATGTTAAGAATATAAACACGCCACTAATCAGTGCACACTTTCCAACGTGTTTCATCAATAGGCAGCAGTTAAATGCTACATCCAATCCCAGAATGCACTGCTGCAACACGGGCAGCTACACAGCAAGTACCATTGTTTGAACTCTTCAGGTCCTGCTATGGTCTGGTCTTCAAACGTTGCCAAGGAGCCTAAAGAAACAAAGGGTGACGTATGGCACAAATTAATAAAAGATGTCCACAGGACAAGCTCCCCTTTCCTCGCCATCTTTCCTGAACAAGGCTAACAACAGGCCTCAGTTTGGTCTTAAGAGTGCTGGAAACAAATAAAGAAGTCTGAAGAGTGACCACGAACAGCAGGCGATGAGAACGTGACCCAAACGTAAAGAACACAACAGTCTTGGCACCGACAAAGTGTCTGTTAGAGCAACGAGAGCGGACGGTGACGTGAACGTCGTCTTTTATCTGAACGACCGGATCTGCTTTTGTTCCCTTTGAATGAGAAGAAAACCGAGACCTAGACTTGATCCTTGGACAGCCACTCGAGCTGCTCCTGCTTGTCCGTGTCCGATGAGCTCACACGAACAAATAAAAAAACACATTGTGCTGTCTGTACTCCAGGTTTCATGTGTATGAAGGAGGAGGGAAATGAGAAATGACTCGGCGTGTCACAGTCCGTCAATTAAAGGAAACTAAACCTGAGAGAGAGAAAACAGAACGGAGAATGTCAGGGTTGTTGTGGAGCAGCAGGAATGAAGAAGAGCTGAGGAGAAAGGCTGATTGGGGGGAGAGGGGGGGAACCCAACATGGTTCAGCAGTTTAACCCCAGGCAAAGAGTGTCCATGGCTGTTAAGGGTCCAAAGGATGGTGGTTTTTAAAGCCCATCGTGGGTGGTCAACATTTCTTCAGCTCTACAGTGGGACTCCAAGGCTTTTGTGGTGTAGATATCCTGAGGCAGCTCGGATTTGCGTCTCACCATGGGCCGCTCTTTTCTCTGCTCGTGCTGCAGCTGTGGAGAAACAAGTTTCTGAGTGGACCTTTCCAGTTAACAGACAGAACAAGACAGAGCCCAAGTTTCAAATCTACGACAGAGCTTTAGGGCCACGATGAGAAAAAAAATAAAATTTACATTACGAGAAAAAAGTCATAATATTACAAGAATAAACTTGTAATACGTTCCAGGGTCACCTTGCACCTGCTGTGGACAGCCCCCAGTGCAGTCACTGTGTTTATTATTAAGAAGTCCATGATCCCTTTTGGGTCACTGTTTGTAAAATATGCCTCCATCCACATTATGTGATGAATAAATCTGTCAATGCAGCCATTAATTACAGTCATGGGCTTCAGTTTATCATAATACAACATATCATATACTCAGGTCACTTGTAAATGAGTCCTCAAGGCTCAATGGGATTAACTTGTCTAAATAAAGGTTGAATGAATATGCTAGATTGTGTTGGGCCCCTGCTGTTGCTGACATAAACATTCATCATTTTACCGCAGTTGTGAGACATATTTATTGTGTCGGAGTTCTGATAATATTACAAATTTATTCTGGTAAGATTACAAATTTATTCTGGTAAGATTACGAATTTATTCTGGTAATTTATGAATTTATTCTGGTAATTTACGAATTTATTCTGGTAATATTACAAATTTATTCTGGTAATTTACGAATTTATTCTGGTAAATTACGCATTTATTCTAGTAAATTACAAATTTATTCTGGTAAATTACAAATTTATTCTGGTAAGATTACGAATTTATTCTGGTAAGATTACGAATTTATTCTGGTAATATTACAAATTTATTCTGGTAATATTACGAGTTTATTCTGATAATATTACAAATTTATTCTGGTAATATTATGAGTTTATTCTGGTAAATTACAAATTTATTCTGGTAATATTACAAATTTATTCTGATGATATTACAAATTTATTCTGGTAATATTACAAATTTATTCTGGTAATATTACAAATTTATTCTGGTAATATTAAAAATTTATTCTGGTAAATTACGAATTTATTCTAGTAAATTACAAATTTATTCTGGTAAAGTACAAATTTATTCTGGTAATATTACGAATTTATTCTGGTAATATTACAAATTTATTCTGATGATATTACAAATTTATTCTGGTAATATTACAAATTTATTCTGGTAATATGGGTTTATTCTGATAATATTACAATTTTTTTCTGGTAATATTATGAGTTTATTCTGGTAAATTACAAATTTATTCTGGTAATATTACGAGTTTATTCTGGTAATATTACAAATTTATTCTGGTAAATTACAAATTTATTCTGGTAAATTACAAATTTATTCTGGTAAGATTACAAATTTATTCTGGTAATATTATGAGTTTATTCTGGTAAATTACAAATTTATTCTGGTAATATTACAAATTTATTCTGGTAATATTATGACTTTATTCTGGTAATATTATGACTTTATTCTTCTATTGTTTTTACTTTATTCTCATAATACTACAACTTTATTCTCATTCGTAATGTTTTTTTTCTTTGCGTGGCCCTAAAGCTCCGTCGTACAAATCAAACATCAGTAAAACATGTTTCATGAACCAAAATGTCAAAGTTAATTTAGAAAAAACCTTTTAGTATTGTTAAAGGACATCTGTTCTATTCTTTATTATCCATCCAGAAGTTTTGCGACTACTTTTAAGCAGATAAAGGTTCTTGACGGCCAGGTTTGTTTCGTATGCTTTTGTGACTAGTAGAGCGTAAAAAACAAACAAAAATGTATCTCATGTAAATAGGTTTTAGAGGGTAAGCATGTTGATGAGGAAGCTGATCTAGAGGAAACAGACAGAGAGAAAGTCAGGTTTACCTGAGTTGCGCCCTCCTCAACTGTCTTTTTTAACCTCTGTACATCTTCTATCAAAGGGACATCCGTCTCCATTGCTACAGGACTACTGAGGTCAGAGGACTGAACATGCGTACAGAACTACGTTGAAAAGAGAGGATGGAGAAAAGACTTTCAGTTGCATGCAGAGAGGAAGTGATTTAAGATCTACAGCCTGAGTTTTACTGCAGTGATGTGCAGAAACCTGACACATTAATTACTGGTAGGACCACTTTTGTCCAAGTTATTTCTGATAAGAAGTTGAAGATGATTGTAAAATTTATTTATCTGGTTAGGAATGCAGATGTTTGTATATTTGGAGAGTATTTATGCGAGTAAAATGACAGAAGTCACCAGCTAGATGGCTCCAATTTAAATGTGAGGCCACAGAATAAACAACGATTAAAGAAAAGCGGACTGGAAATATCTTGTAAATTCAAAAGATGGAGAGTTTAAATTTTACATATGACATCAGCAGCGCACAGGTCAACCTTCAAAGCAGACGTGGGCAACTTAAGGCCCGAGGGTCAAAAGTGGCCCTTGGACAATCTCCATCAAGCCCCTAATGTCCTTAGTTCAAAAGAAAACAACTTTTTCTTTAATTGATTGATAAACCGGGCAGCACGGTGGTGGTGGTCCCTGGTTCAAACCCCGGTCCAGGGGCCTTTCTGGGTGGAGTCTGCATGTTCTCTCTGTGCATGCGTGGGTTTTCTCCGGGTGCTCCAGTTTCCTCCCACAGACCAAAAACATGCATGTTAGGCTGATTGGTAACTCTAAATTGTCCCTAGGTGTGAGTGAGAGAGTGAATGTTTGTTTGTCTCGTTTGTCTCTATGTGTCCCTGTGATGGACTTGCGACCCGTCCAGGGTGTCCCCCGCCCCTCGCACAGTGATTGCTGGACATGGGCACCGGCGATCCCCGTGACCCAAAATGGAATAAGCGGGTAAAGATAATGGATGGATGGATGATTGATAACCCCGCCCCCCAGCAATTTATGAACAAAACTTAAGGAAATTTAAATTAAACATTTACGCAAAACTTTTTAAAAACATTATTTAAGTTGTGTTTCCAAAACTATACTGAATCTTATAGACTTGGAAACACAAATATATAAAGTTTGTTTTGCATATTTCCGCTAACGCATATAACATGTTAAGCTAACGCGTATAACGTTTTAAGCTAACGCGTATAACGTGTTAAGCTAACATGTATAACGTGTTAAGCTAACATGTATAACGTGTTAAGCTAACATGTATAACGTTTTAAGTAGGGATGCACAGATACGTCGGCCCCGATTTCCTTAATTTTGGGAAATCAGAAATCGCATACTTGCACGACAAACCAATTTTTTTTTAGTTTTAACAACAATTGTCTGAACTTCATTTATACTTCAGAGCACTACCTCATGGCCATTTAAAACAAGTTTGTATTGTTTCTAGGATATTGTTCAGGGGTATGTTTTTCAACTAAATAATATTGGAAAACTGAAGGTGCATTGCGACTTTATAACACCTGACAGTGTCGCTTATAAAACAAAATCAGAATCGGCAGCTCAGACTTTTTAGAAATCGGTGATCGGCCAGAAAACTGCAATCGGTGCACCCCTGGTTTTAAGCTAATGTGCATAACATCTTAAGCTAACATGTATATATCGTCACAAGAGCCAATTTAAACACCGTCTTATATTCGTAGAGGATATTGGAAAGACGTTTTATAAAGCATGCTAACTATGCTACAGTAAGACTGAAGAAACTATTCTAGATTATCTGTCATAAAGAAAAATGTCCAATTCTCCATGCGGCCCTTTGATCGCTTTAAAGGACTTGATATGGCCCATTTGAAAAAAAAGTTGCCCACCTCTGCTTTAAAGGGTTTAGTTTACCCGTTATCTGCAGCTCATAAAGACAAGAGGCATTATTGCTCTTTACACTGAATTACCCAGAAGACCCATCTGAAAATCGTTTTCAGGTAAAGACAATAATCAACATGTCGTCAGCTGTCAACTCAATACTAGCTGCTTTTATTCACCGACACTTAGGACACACAGTTCAACTAAAAAGCTTTACAGCTCTCTAAAGGCACGAACGCACCGATCAAGTCCAGACAAGACGGAAGGATTATGATAAACGGACCAATATAATGATTTATTCAGTAAAACAAGATGCAATGTGAGTAAAGTTAACTAAAACAAACAAACCTGTGTGAGATCAACTTGTTTTAACGCCTCAGTTGATCAACGAGATAAAACTAAAATACAAAATGTTTAGATTTGGTTGAAAACTGGAATACATTTTTCATTAAACTGAACACATCTTCCCTAAAACAAGCTGAGCTCTGAATGTTCGAACTAAGAAAGGATGATGAAAAGAAGGAAACTGTTGTTAAATCATTTTAATTCTAACCGTGCCTCTATCCCTTCTTCGTCGTCACGTTTTCCTCCATGTTGTTAATTTCCGTCCTTCCTACTTCGCTAAACATTTCTAGAATTCTTTGATATTGTTTGTGAACCCCGTCTGTGGACATTAATGCGAGCTGCAGTGATGCTGTGCAGCATTTCTCTTCACGGTGCAAATGTCCCCGTCAGTCGTGACACTTCATTATTACACCTCGTCTTTCGCCTTTCTCACAGACGGCTGTGAAATTCTTGGACATTTTTTAAACATCTTTACTTTTAGCTAACAAACAAAAAAAAAAAGGCATCTCAGTCAAATCCTCAACGCTCAACCATAAACACTTTCTTTTCTTCAAGAATAAAAAAAACATGCCACCACTGCCCGACTGAAACCGTCTGTTCTGGCCTATATTTAATAAAATACCAACACTGGTGGAAAGTTAAAAAAAGCTGCTCACCTGCGGATTTGATTTGGCGAGATTCTCGATCTTGACCCAAGCCTCTTCACGTTCTTTAGACTTCATCTTCTCTCTGTTTAACAAGACGCCACAGATCCTGTCACTTCACTGGTTTTAGTGACTCGATGCAAAATTCCAGCAACAGACTTAATAATGCGCCACATGTATACGAATAATTAAATGGGGGAACAGTGTTCGGAGCGTACTTGTTTTTCTCTGCTCTGAACTGCTGTGTGCAATCGTCAAAGAGCTTCTGATTCATCTCCATGAAAAGCTTCAGAGCGTTGTAGATGAGACCGTGGATGGTCCTGTGAACACACACAGCCAGATGTTAGCAAAGCAACACAATAGAATTTAAAATATAGACCTCAAACAGACAAAAAAATAAAACTTGTATTTGTTGGTTGTAAGCCTGTCACGATAAACAATAAATGAATTAATCGCATGATAAATGACAATTATCGACCTCATTTTCATGTATTGGCGTTATTGTTTCTTCATGTCTCTCTCTTTCTACTGAAGACACTGGATGATAAAAAAGCTCAACTCCGGTGCTCTTCACTGACCCCTCCCTTTCTCTTTAAAATCCATTTTAACAGTCCAAAATTGCGTTTTTGGATCGTTAAAAGCAGCTAAGCTGAGAAGCTTAGCTGCGAGCTAAGCTAACAGGCCGACCTCCAGGGGGAAAAAACCTCCGTCTTGTCGAAGCTCCAAAATTCAAAGTTGAAACCCGTGCCTTCGTGTAAAAACTTTTTCTCTGCAAAAAGAAGCCGAGAACTTGTTTACTGATTTTTTTTTTAGTAAAAGCTTTGTGTGTGTGTGTGTGTGGGGGGTCCGTGGGTCCTCTCAGAAAATTTTGAATAACAGATGCCATTTCCTGCATTTTGGTGTATTTTAACACGTTTCTCTCGTTGTATTTTTTAATAAATAATCAAAATAAAAATACGCGATGACTTTAGACTTTTAGGGGCGGAGCTGCCGGATCCAAACAAAGAGTTGCCGGAACAGAACAGGTCAAAACGAGAAAGTTCCCGGATCTTGTTCCGGCAGGATCCAGCTCAAATTAACCACTGGAGACAGCCCACGTCACGTCAAGGGGTCTCCCTCCCATTTTTCTTAAAGAGACATGCTGCTTGCTCCCTCACTATCCATCATTCGATTCAAACAGTCTTATACTGCCATCTGGTGTTGAACAAAGGTACTACATGCAAAACAAATTAAACATTTCTTCTTAAATTTGACAATAATTACAAATTATTGTCAAAATTTCAAACAATATTATCGTTTATCGCAATAATTTCTGAGACAATTAATCACCCAGCAAAATTTGTTATCGTGACAGGCCTAGTTGGTTGCAACATTTTTAAATCATCGGTCTCATTGGAAGTTACGTTAGTAGACTTGCGCAAATAGAAAAAGTGTTGAAAGACAGAGACAAGCAGCAAACGAACAGCTGCAATTGTTTTAAAAACAATAACATGCAGTGGGCGTAAAAAGATTACACCCCCTCCCCACTAAAATGACAGGTTTTGGTGAAAATAAATAAAAAAATAAATAAATGAAAGCTATAATTTTTAAACTTCTTCCACTCTTGTACAACTCAACAAAATACAATCTGTTGCACACCCTTAAACTAATATTTGTTGAAGCACTGTTTAAATTATTTAGACGTCGGTCTTGTTGGAAACATGCCTATCACTAAAGGGGACTGAACCCTCCTCCTGGTTGGGAGTGCCTCAAGTGGAGGAGTTTATCTCAGGGAGATGCTTCTGCAGTATTGCGTCATTTGTGCCAGTCTATTGTGGTGAAGAGGGAGCTGAACAGTAAGGCAAAACTCTACATTTACTGGCCTATGTTCATGACCACAAATTCTTAAGTGACCAAAAGAACGAGATCGTGGATACAAGCGGTCAAAATGAGTTCTCTCTGCAGGGTGGCTGGACTCTCCCTTAAGCCTGGTTTGCAGTCCACGAGAAGTGATTCAGCCATCATTACAATCGCTGCAGCAAAAATGATATCGTCAAATAGAACTTGTAAAAATAGTTTAAAAAAAATATATTAAAAAAACTCCAGAGAAGATTGAAAAGTTCTTGTGCAGACAGCATGGAGACCCCGGCGGCTCCGTGGCTGTGATGACTGAGAGTGCTGCTCAGTCGGGCAGCGAAGGACACGTTCCCGTACCGTTTGTCAGAAACGGTCTCTTTGTGACAAATGTACAAAATAGTGCTTCTCCTTGGTTAACAATAGAAATACCACATCATACTCCCCCAACATCAACTACAAATAAACATCTCGGTCTGTGTAGTTGTTTGTAACATGTTACAGTCAAAGGGCTTATCAGGACTTCTCCTCTGCCGTTTCTCTTACAGTGGAAAAGTCACAACAGTGTCAGAACCAGAACTTTAGGTTGAGAAGTTCAGTTATACGAGAGAGACTTGCTCCTTTTTGGCAATTTATATCCAAACCAATTCATAGCTACATAGAGGGGATAAAGAATAATGACAAAGTCCATGCTCAATAATCCAGGGATACAATCCAACATTTTTCAGTCAGGTCATCAAAAAATGTTGGATTTTATTCCTGGATTATTGAGCATGGACTTTGTTGTTTTCAACCAGTTTGACACGACTGTCAACAAGGAAGAGGGCCGGCAATGGAGGAGGGGGCGTACCAAAGAGACCATCTTAGCACCAACAAAACTGGTTTGTTCCACTTTGGAGTAAGCTGTTGGGGGAAGAATCCATTTTGTTGCGTTTCCTTGACTGATGAAGCCTTCTGGATCGAAGGCGAAACGTTTCAGCACAAAAAAAGAAACTGTCCAGATGACCTGACGGAAAAATGTTGGATAAAGAATAATGCTTCCTCTCCACATGGAAGAGGAGCCAGTAAAGGTGGTTCAGGCATCTTAAGATGCCCACTAGGAAAGTGCTCCTGGCATGTCCAATCTTTAAAACAATTCATCACGGTTTCAAATGTTACATCACATAAATATGTCATTTTAAATGTGTGTAGTTCTTTTAACCGCTGTAAGACATGAACAGCTTTATATGAGCAAACATCTGCGAACAGATGACTTGAGTCAGCCGAGGACATTCTGTGACCCCTGTAAAGTATATGAAGTGTTAAGTCACACCCTCCGTTGTTTGCAGTGAAAGGTGCTCAGAGAACTTTTGCAAAACATCATCACAGCTGAAGATCTAAAGCCGAGCAGCTTACTTGTTCCAGTGCGTCTTTGAGTTGCGGTACAGAGCGGGGAACATGATGGGCAGGATTTTTGCTGCGTTGTCACTGATCAGACTCATGATGTACTCGTTGTTCCAATAGTACAAGGCTCTCTCTGCCACCTAATAAAAAAACAACATACATCTGAGACATATAGGTCATATGATGATCATGTGACAAGCTGCACAATGACCTCCATACAAATTCTGTCACTATAAACGCTCAACACGTTCAGTGTTCATCCACTGTACTAAAACAAAGCACACCATTAAGATGTTGAATAAGCAATATCCTGATAGCATTATAAATATGTATACTATGTTTAATTCATGTACAATGGGAAATTATGAAACTTATTTTATTCACATGCTTTCAAGAGGTGGTATCTCACTAGACTGCGACGTTTAGCTGGAGACTCGAAATCGCACAAGAAAAAGCAAACTTCCTGTTTAGTCAAGACAATTAAGCAGCGATCCATGCAGTTGTTTTTGTGGCCATTTTAGAAAGTTTGGAGACATTCTGGCACCCTCATGAATGCCACTCTTCAATTTGTTGCCAACAGTCGCAGTGAGATACTAGCCCAATAAACAGATTGTGTTTGCATGTCAAAGCGGATCCAGTACCTGGAAGTGTGGACTGGACACACACTTTGCCAGCTGTCTGAAAAGAGGCTCCTGGACTTTCACAAACTCCGAGGGCTCGATGACGTCCAAGATTTCTTCCAGCTCGTTGAGGAACATCACCTCCTTGGGACTGTGAGTCTTTGGCCAGTACTTTAGCAGAGCCATCACCACCTGTCGGGAGGAAAAACATTATTGTTGATAACCAATCAAGGAGCATTACGCAACAAACTTTGGGAGGAGAAGGCAACAAACCGGCTCAGTTAGAGTGCTGTCTTTTTCCAAAAACTGCACCACGCAGTAGGCCAGCTGCAAAACACAAAAAAGTACTTGTTTAAGACCGTCAGTACTATGTGAGTATGCAAACTACAGGAAACACTGGAGTAAACACAAAAAGTTTAGCGATAACATTTCAGTTTGGACTCAACTAAAGAAGCAGTTTGTTGATTTGAACAGAAACATTCAAAAACAGTAGAGTCATAAATATTGCCCTAACTGATAAACTACTCACACTAGGACTACACCCCTCCATAACAGGGTTCTAGACTTAACCAACAGGCTGCAGTCTGTGAAGATCCACAACTTCTCCTCCTCCACCATAACCCTCAGCACTGGCTCCCCTCAGGGCTGTGTGCTGAGCCCCCTCCTGTTCACTCTGCTCACGTATGATTGTGCAGCTGCCCATCCAGGCTGTCGCATTGTAAAGTTTGCAGATGATACAGCGGTGGTGGGATGCATCACAAACAATGATGAGTCCAGCTACAGACAGGAAGTGGAACACCTGGAGAGCTGGTGCAAAGAGAATAACCTTCACATCAATGTGATGAAGACGAAAGAGATAGTCGTGGACCTCAGAAGGAGCAACCCCCACACCTCCATTGGAGGATCTGCTGTGGAAGTGGTCTCCAGCTACAAGTACTTGGGGGGTACATCTGAATGACAACCTCAGCTGGAGCAACACCACCACCAAAAAAAAAAAAAAAAAAAAAAAAAAAAAAAAAAAAAACAGGCGGCTGAGGCGAGCTGGTCTGGGAAGCTCAGTCCTCACCTCCTTCTACAGGTGTGCAGTGGAGAGCATCCTGTGCTCCAGCATCAACGTGTGGCATGGAGGCTGCACAGCTGCAGAAAGAAAAGCTTTGCAGAGAGTGGTGAAGGCTGCACAGAAGACTGTTGGAGTCAGCCTCCCCACCATCACAGACATGCAGGAAGAGGGCCACCTGCATCATGAAGCACCCCACTCACCCAGCACACACACTTTTTGCCCCGCTCCCCTCAGGAAGGAGGTTGAGGAGCATTAAGTGTAGAACCACTAGACTGAGGAACAGCTTCTACCCTGAAGCTGTTAGACTCATGAATCTCTAACCAGGATAATCACTGTAATGCCACTTTAGAGATTTGACACTTTGTGCTGCTGATCTCTTACTCATAAGCTGCTGTATTCATACCCATCTGCTCACAACAGACTCATGTTCAGGCTGCTGTTTAATACACCGTATTATATTGTATTATTACTGTTTACTGCATATCTTAGATTCTTGTACACTGTTTTTTTAATAGATTGTATTTTTCCTATATTTGGATGCAACTGGGACCTTGACTACACAATTTCATTCCACCTCATGTACCACATGTGATGCGAATGACAAAGAAACTTGAACCTTGAACAAAGTTCACCTCAGGTTCCAAGTAAAAACAATTAACTCAAATTGAGATTTTGTTTTCTTCACTGCGAGTTAGGAAACATACCTGTGGATGGTAGACACTGAGTGATTTGACTTTGTGCAGAGGCAATAAAACCTTTAACAGGAAAATCTTGTGCTCCTCTTTCAGCGGTAGGGCGAATCCATTGATTATACTAAACACAGAAAGCACTCAAAATCAGAACATGTGACCACTAGGTAAAATAAGGTTGTTAAAATTAGGGCGGCAAATTCATAATATTAGATTATATCAAGTACAAATACAGAGTGGTACTACCTTTAAGTGTGCAACTCACCTTCCAAGTATTTCCAGTAGTTCAGCTATACCATTATGGTGCTCAGTTTCATAAATAAACCTGAAAAAGCAAGAACAGTCTTCCTTAATGGGAACAAAGTCCGTATCAGCAGATGATTTGTGTTCGACTTGACGTAGGTAAACACGAGTAACGTGATGACCAGCACTGACCTATAGAAAATGTTATTGATCTGTTTTCGGATATACGCCCTCAGCCCCAGAAACTTCCCATAGATCCTGTGCAGAGTAGTTTTCAGGAAGTCTCTCTCTCTGGGATCTTCACTGTCAAATAGTTCTAGTAGCTGCGGCACGTGCAAAAATACAACAGATTTACCAGGAACATCAAGTCTCACAGTTCAACTTTCCAAACTTTAAGAGCTGACTGTTTATCAAACGACGGCCGCTTATATTTTACCTGCATAACAAATTTCTGGTCGATGTATTTCTTTGCTATATTAGGCTGGAAGTCAGGCGATTCTAAAAACCTAAGGAAAAATTCATAGACGAGCTGCAAAAGGGAAAAGAGATAAAACAGAGGAGTGAACGTCGGGAGGGATTTAAAAGTTAGAGCTGACACAAAGATGAGGTTTTCTATTCAAACGCTGGATGAAAGTGTAAAGAAGAGTTTAGACTACACATGGGTGTCACAGGGAGGTTCAGACACCAACCTGGAGGTGGGGCCACGCAGCTTCAAGCGTTGGCTCGTCCTCTTCAGGATCAAACTCTGCTCCCGTCGGGTTGGACGATGGAGGCAATGTCCTAAACATATTTACAGCAAACTGAAAGAAGAAACAAATAATTAAATACTGGATTTCTTCCCTTTTATCTTTTAGCAGAGATCTGTTTATTGTTCAATAGAATGTTTATGAAGCATTCGCTCTATTGCGAGACATTTTTATTCTGTACATTTTTCAGTGCACTTCTTCAATTTTCAATCTATTTCAACGAATCATAAATCAAGACGTTCAGCTCGTTCAGGACAACTCTGCTATGACTTTTGTTATTGGTGCAACTTTAGCTTTTTGAAATATTTAGCCTTTTCTGCCATTTTTTTCTCATAGAAAATGAATTGAGCTCATTTTACATCCTTCAGATCTTTAGATCTTCTTACAAATGTTACAGCTCCTTTCACATTTTGTTCTGCTTCCTTGTGCAAATTTAAACATTTTTTCGGCTACTTTCAGCTAATTTCAGCCGTTTTGTGCTCCTTTCAAGTTTTTTCTGTTAACGTCAACATTTTTGTGCTTCTTCTAACTTCAAGGATTTTTTTTATTGTCATACCAGCTCACATTTGCGTGTTTATGGTACGAGATTCGAACTCACATCCCAGATCAAGAAGCCTAACAATTAACAAATTAATAAATACAAAACAGTATAAATATATAGGGGTGCAGAAAAAAAAACAATTTTTTTTAAGAATCTAGATTCTTAGTCCTGGCGATTCTGAATCGTTTCTAAAGGTCCATAAATTGATTTTAAAATGCTTTTTTCTTTTTCTTCTGCTCTTACTCCCCGTTCGGCCGCCGTAGAATTGAGCCGTGTAGGCCACCGTACATCAAGCTAGTTAGCCAGCTCCCTTTATCTGAATGGAGCCTGCTAGCATGCAGGAGGGGGACAGCGCGATTCAACCAACCTCTTCGTCTTTAAACATCATTTCAGATCCTACAATGTTCCGGGGGAAGACGGAGCTTCACAAGAACACGGTTGTTTACAAGAAGTGTAAAATAAAATTGCGGTACAGTATTTTGGAAATACGACAAATTTCACGAAAGATGAAAGCGAAGCAGCCGACCAGTGAACTCTGCAACAAACTTCCAGGCTTCTCCCAAAGGCTGTGAAGAGTTCCCTCCATCTCCTGCTGCATCACAAAGGATTTACGATCAGACAGCTCAGTGGAAGGTGAGGGGTTCAGGTTTATTTTTAATACGATGGATTCAACGTACGTTATTCCTTCATGTAGATTTTTTTTTTTTGCGATAAAGCAGCACCACAACTTCACCATGAAACAACAAATGGGAGAAGCTCTGATGCAGCTGCAGCTCAAAGTTAACCGTTATTTCTCACATTATACTAAAACTTATAGACAAGTTGTACAACAAACTTAAAGTAATTTGTCTTTTTAACAGGTTGGAGAGGACAGATGAGACATCTCCTGGAGCCAGTTCTAAATGATACAGTTTATAGTTTATAAATTACAGTTCAGAAGAGGTTTTTGTGCAAACTTGCACAGGTTTTGAAATTTTGTTAAAGATTTACTAAATATGAATCAACATGGTTAAGACTGTGAAGGTTGTATATTTCATATTAGGTTAAGTTTTGAAAATATAACAAATGTTAGAGCAACATGGTTAAAAATAACTGAAGTCTGTATTTATGTTGAGTTAAAGGTTAATGTACTATGTATGGTAGGCTGAAGTCTGTTTACTTGTGTATTTATATATTTTGAATTATTTGTCTGTGATGTCTGTTGTCCCCCGCCTCTCACACAGTGATGGCTGATATGGGCACCAGTGACACCAGTGACTCGAAAAGGAAGAAGTGGGTAAAGATGATGGATGGATGAATTATTTGTTCAT